GGCCGCTGCAGGCGGGGGCCTGGGCTTGGGGGAACCTCGTGGAAGCATGAGGTTTGCTTAGCGAACTGCCACAAAAGACCTGGCTGCTTTCTGCTGCCCTGTTCATGCCGTTGGGCTGTGGTCCTTTTAAGACGCACTGTTAGTTTCTGTCTCTTCTTCTTACATGTATTGAATTTGCTCAGTAAAACAACTGAGTTTTGGCAGTTTCAAAAGTATTTGCAAGTCCTAATAAGTTCATGGTTCTACCCCGATCTCTCAGTGTTACAGTAACCCAGCAGCAGGTGCTGAAAAATTAACTTGTCTCAGCTTTTCCTTCATTTTGCAGCGAGAGCAACTCAAATAAGAAGTCAGAATGTTAAGCTAGGCTTTACCGTGAGCCTTTGCCATAGACACAGCTTAATGCCGTTGTTGAAACTTCTGATCCTGTCTTCCCCCTTAAAAGAATCATTTAATCCTTACAGGAAAAAAAAAAAAAGCAATAAAAACTATAATAAAAAGGGTGGGGAGGAGTTGCTGTGTGGAACAGTGAGAACAGAGGTGCAGTTTGCCCGTTTAAGCAACAGAAAGCAGAGGGCATTTCCTGAGCTTGACTGTGGGGCATGGAGATGGAAATAAGACATGTCTGATGGAAACCTACTCAGCGTTTCAGCTGTGATGCTTCTTTGAAGAGGGAAAACACTTCAGCAGCATGAGTCTATGTTTTCTCGTTATATTTCCTTCTAGAAACTAGAACACCGGTGTAATGGGTACAATAGGAAGACCTAAGACGTTCCAAAAGCAATACAGAAAATTCAAAAGATTCATGCAAAAATTACAACAGGCTGGCAGTTTTTAAAATTCAGACAATGAAAATGAAAGTCTGCTTGGGAAACAGAAGCATTTTTTCTGGGTAGGAACTGCAGGAGGAGGCATTAGCTGAGTTTCCCTCGGTGGTACAGTGCTCTTTCCTACTGGGATGTGCAGTAGACCTCAAACATCCAACAAGTCACTGTTTCAAGGGCATGAAATATGACTTTTGCAGCCTTTCTGCCCTGAGAAAAATTTCTTTGGCGAGGAAGAAAACTGCATAAAGTTAAATTAGAGTTGCCTCAAGAGTTGTTTTGGCTAGAGTTATACAGCAGAAGTAATATTTCTCTAAAAAAAAAAAAAAAAAGAAAAAAGGTATGGGACAACCAGGAAATCAAAGCCCAGGCAAATTTTATGCTGTTGCTGATGCAGAATGCAGAAAATAATGACAGAGGCACGTTAAACCTGCTCTTTAAAAACTTCACCTCTGAAAGGCTATGTGCACTTTGCTAAGTTCTTCACCCTCCAAAAAAACCCTCCTCTCCAGGCTCTTTTAACCTGCACAGCCAACATTTCTCTACACATTTTGTTTCTTCAGAGCAAGCTGTGCTGAACCGTGCCCGTGTTGCTGGGATCTTTTCTTTCCATCAATCAGCTGCCCCAGCCCCAGGTAAGCCGGGCTCCCAGCTCCCCCAGGTACCTTCTCAAGCAGTACGCATGCCGAGCCGTGCCGAGCCGTGCCTTACCTTGTTTACTCTCCCAGACGCCTGCCAGGGTGCGAAGGTGTTCCCAGTTAAGAGTGTAAAAGCTGCCCTTCGTACTGCCTATTTATGCA